GTAAGTAGACGGGAGTGACCCTTTCCAGCTTTGCAGGGCCAGCTTTGTTTAGGATCTTGGACATTTGGTGTTGGTCTTTTCTTGGGAGCTTCTGAGAAAGAGTGGTAATATTTGTCTTACGAAGGCAGCTCAGGCTGCTCTGGGTGGGCTGGCTCCAGGGGGACTGGAGAGACTACGGAAGCTCTACCTCAGAGGTGGAGGGAGCAGAAGGGAGATGAGGGGATGGAGTTTGTGTGGGAGAGAGAGTGGTCAGTGCCTTGGGACCAGAGAGATGAGTTAAGAGTGCCAGCTCCTCTTGCAGAGGACTAGAGTCAATTCCCAGCATCCACAGAGTGGCTCACAGCCTTCTGGGACTGCAGTTCCAGGATGTCCAGTATCCTCTTCTGGTCTCTGCAGGCACTGCATGCAAATAGTGCACAGACAAAACACCCATACATACAAAATAAAAATAAATAAGTCTTTTAAAAACCCCATTGAGGGGTTTAAGGAGTCAGTGTGCATCTCTCAGCAATGCTGAGAGGAGGGGCATGCTGGGCTTCTGCAGATTAGCCTCTGTACGTGCTGATTCCAAGTCAGCGTACAGTGGAAATGTTCTTGAGACTCACGTCTGTACTGAGCTTCTGCAGACTGCTCTTGCCGCTGTTTCCTAGTGCACTAACTGTTGCAACAACATGCACTTTAGGTACGACGTGTAATCTCGAGAAGATCTGAAGTATGTAGGAGAATGGGAGTCTAATAATTTCAGTCAGAGACTAAGGGACTTAGGCATGTAAGGAGAGGTGTTGCAGCCAGTCCCCAGGAGACACCAAGAGTCAGGTGTATGAAAGTCAGCACTAGTACAGCTTAGGATTTGTGACGCTCAAAGATGACCATCTCTTAAAGTCAGCATGTCCAACTGGGACTTGAGACAGTTTCTTCAGCAGTTGTTTTTACATACATACATACATACACACACACACACACATACATACATATACACATACACACATACATATATATATATACACATTCATACATACAAATGCTATATATGTTATATACAAATGTTTTATATATCAAATATATACATACATACATACATACATACTGTGGTGTAAAATAAATATAATTGTATGGTGTGTTAGAGAATTTAAAAAATAATCATTGTGTTTTGGTTTGCTATATCCTAAATAGAAAAAAACTTTCCCATGATAACCATAATTAGAGCAATCTTTACAGCTCACACTTATTTTAGAATGCTGTAATTTTAAAGTCCTCTAATTATAACATAATACATATTTAAAATAACTTCACTATAATCATAGAATAATTTATATATATTTACCAATTTGATCATACGCTCATTTTGCTTTCTTATTTTTAAGGCTTTTTGTTTGTTTTTTGTTTTTGAGACAAGGTCTCCGTATGTAACCCAGTGTATTAGTGGGTTCTCTATAGTCACAGAACTTATGGAATGTCTCTATATGGTAAGGGAATTTATTGTAATGAGTTAAAGTCTGCAGTCCAACTAACCCAACAATGGGCAGCTCTGGATGAGAAGTTCAAGAATCTAGTAGTTGCTCAGTCCCACGAGGCTAGTTGTTTCTGCTGGTCTTCTGTGTAAGCTGGAGTCCTCAAGGAGTAGACGCCATCAGATGTGCTGGCAAGTAAGTGCAAGCAGGCGAAGACGAGTGAATCCTCCTCTCCCATCATCCTTATGTAGGCCTTCAGAGAAGGTATGGCCCAGATTAAAGGTGTGTGCCTGGATTTGGAGCTTGCTCTGTCCCAGGCTGGCCTTGAACTCAGAGACCTGCTTGCCTCAGTCTTCCAGGATTAAAGGCATGAACTACTTTGCCTAGGCCTAAGCTTTTCATGGCCACTCTGCCTCAAGATGTGGATCAAAACCCTATGTCATCCCATGTCAAGATCAAAACCCTATGTCATCCCATGTCAAGATCCAGATCGGAAGCCCATGTCTTCCAGCCTCAAGATCTGGATCACAAGTGTGCCCTCCATTTCTTGATTCTAGTTTATTCCAGATATAGTCAAGTTGACAGCCAGGAATAGCCATCACATCCAGGGATTTGAACTCTAATCTTGCTTATGGGACAAGCGCTTTAATTACTGAGGCATCTCCTTATCCCTAGTCTGTTATTGTAAAGTTTTCCTTCTGTAGAAGCAGGAGAGATGGGTCAGCAGAGGGTCTGGGTCCTGTTCTTAGAACCCACAAGACAGCTCACATCAATAGTCACTCCAGTTCCAGGGGTTCTGATGCCCTCTTCTGTCCGGAGAATGGGTACTGCATGTATATGGTACACATATATAACATGCAGGCAAAATTCACACACACACACACACACACACACACACACACACACACACACACACACATATATAATTAAAACAAACAAATCTTGGGCTGGAGAGACGGCTCAGTGGTTAAGAGCACTGACTGCCCTTCCAGAGGTCCTGAGTTCAATTCTTAGCAACCACATGGTGGCTCACAACCATCTGTCATGGGATCCAACTCCCTCTTCTGCTGTGTCTAAAGAGAGTAACAGTGTACTCATATACATATATAAAATAAATAAATAAATCTTTACAAAATTAAAAATAGATTTTTCTGTAATCAAAACATATCCAAGTATGTTTGGTCAAAAATCACACTAAAATCTGCTTTCTCTTTCTGTATGCTCCAGCTCCTCCCACCCCAGTCCCAACCTGGCACCCAACCCTGAGTTAAAACCGGTCTGGTCTGGTGTGTTTTGCTGTTAAGACAGTGTTGAAGAGACTGAGCAACAACGAAGGAAAGGCCCCACCGTCCCTGAGCTGGAGCATGTTGTCCTACAGCTTAGAGAGAAAGAGCAGGTGTCCATGAGCTTCCGAGCTTCTCCGTCAGTGTCTTGTATGGTGGACATGCTCAGCATGCATGGGCTTGTTTGCACGAGTCAGCGTTTCACCATGAACAGGGGAAATCCATAGTTGTCAGAGCGCTGATGGTTCCTGCTTTCCCTTCTTGAGTTTGGCCCCAGCAGGGTAGACATCCGTGAGAGATGCCTTCAGTGGACCATCCCAGGAGAGGATGGGAGCCTGGCTTCACTATTCTCTAACTACACAGGAAGGCAGTAGTTGAGGTGGGCAGGTGGTTTGTATGCCTAGTTCCCTCCATGTTGAATGAAGGTAGAGGATTCTCTGGAGGGACAGGTAGTGACTAAGTGGAAGACTGGGTGAGCTGGTTACCCCAAGAATCTTGGAAGTTCCTCAGGAAGCAGGTTTCATGCATAAGCTGACTGTTGGGGGGGGGGCATCCACTTGTGTTCTTAGATGTTCTGCGTTATATATACCTTATGCTACATATTTTCTTGAGCTCGTGAAGGTTGTTTATGTACAAAACTGTATACTGAGCTTATTGCTCACCCAAAGTATTTTCAAATGTGGGTTTTGACTGTATATGGTTTTTCCATTATGCACTAATTTGGGACTTCCCTGTACAAATGGTTCTTTCTTATTAAAACACGGTTATTCTTCTCTCGGACTTTTATTAAGTCTAGAGTTTTATGAAGTTCTGTTAAGCTTTTTGGTCCAGATTCAGCGTTCTCATCTGCATATGAGAGAAAGTACAGCCAAGGCAGGCTTCCCTTGCCTTGCCTGTCTTAACACCAAGTGATAGGTTCTATTTACTGTCTTTCATGTTATTTGGAAGGGTGCAGCTATGGCAGTTGACACAGCAGTTTGCTGCATGGCAGCTGAATTCATCGTTCAGCCTGAGACAGTGGACAGAGAGAGGATAGGCCCAGGGCTCAGGGAGTCAGGCTGTCTGGGCCTTATCCCTGATCTCTACCTTGAATGAATCCTTAAAACTTCTCTAAGCTTTGATCTTCTCTTCAACCGGAACAGTTAAGATAACCCTAACACCCCTTCCAGTTTGGTCTGTGTTTAAAATTATGAAGCAAGTACTTACGTAGCACTTGCTGTATACACATGTACTCTGAAGGATATCGGGGAAAGGCTGAAACCTTGCCCTGAAGAAGCTTAGACATTCTTTCTCTGACTTGAATGTAGGTAAAGCCTATTTGCCAAAGGTCCAGTGTAGAAGCTTAAGAGCTAGTGTTCTGTGTGTGACCCTGGTGTCCCCAGCAACAGGTTAGATCTAGACTAGTGCAGCAGGACTAATTCTGCAAACCGCCAAGTATTCCTGGTCTCTGGGACACATATGTAAATGAGTAGGCATGGCTGTGTTCTAATAAAACTTTATTTACACAGGCAGCTATTCCTGTTCTAGAGTTGTTTAGCTGCTTGCTACTCTGTCTGAAACAGTTAAATGATGTTTGGATATCTAGAGTCTGGGGGTGTGGCCAAATAAGTAAATAATACAGCCCTGCTCAGTATAGCTTTGTTCTTTATTTTGTCACCAACAAAGACCTAACTATAGACACCTGGTTACCAGGCTCCTTCTACAAGAAGGACATTGGAGCCCTCCATTAGGGAGTTAAATTAGCCGCCAAGAATTCCCAGGTCCTAGGGCTAGGAGCTGAATAACCTACCTTTGTCTTTAGGGACTGAAACTTGTGCCCAAACAAAGGCTCTTTGATTGAGGTGGACCTAACAAAGCCAGCTTGTGTCCATTTTTTGGAAACATCCCTAGCCTCTCACCTTGCTCCCTATCCACAGCCGCTTCCACATGCACTAAAGAAAGGAATACTGTTGCTGGTGTCCCGAGGTTTGCTGGCACAGGGATCTGCAGGCTTGCACAAGGCATGCAAAGCTAGGAAGTCATCCCAGGAGATGCTCCTCGGTGGCAAATAAGCCACATAAATAAATGTGCCCTTCAGATGTTAGAAACTGGAAGGAGATGCTCCCGGGATGCAGCCGCTTTCGGTCTTCTGGGAGCGATAAGTAACTAATGTTTTTAAGTCCTGGAAAAGGCTGCCTTCGCCTCCAGTAAGGACTTCAGAGAAGGGAACTTGTTCTAGAAGCTGGCATTTCAGCAAGCTGACTATACAGCCTTGTTCTGTTCACAGGGAGGGGTGACATCCAGCCTCAGCTGGACAGCGCTCTCCAGGATGTCAACGATAAATATCTCCTACTGGAAGAAACAGAAAAGCAGGCTGTGCGCAAAGCACTCATTGAAGAGCGCGGCCGGTTCTGCACCTTCATCTCTATGCTGCGGCCAGTGATTGTAAGTGGATGGAAGGCTCTGGAAGGCTTGAACTATGTAGTGTGGAGGGCTTTCTTTCTTGATTTTATGCATCCACCAGCCTACTGACAGCCACCTACTGCTGTCTTGAGTCTCGATGGCGGAAGCACTTCCACAGATTAGATTCTCAGCACCACCCCTCATCCGCAGTTAGTAGCGATGCTCATCCTACTTGGGTTTGTTTTTTTAACTGAGTTAAGGTAGAGCCTATCTGAGCATGGTGGCACAAGACTGTAATCCCAGCACTGTGGAGGCTGATACAAGAGGCTTGCTGTGAACTTAATTTTAGTCCAGTCAGGGCTATATAGTAAGTTCTAGGCTATCTACAGGTACAGAGTGAGACTTTCTCATTACTCAGATCTCTCCCCCACCTCAGAAAACAAACAAGGTGTGTTTCAAGAATCTTAAGGTAAAATTCCTGGGCAATGCCAGCACCTGTCAACTAGACACGGACATTCTGAGGCCCACTGTATCTCAGTCGCTAAGTCTGGGACCCCATGCATCTGTGTCTTAAGCCCGAGGAAGCATCTCAGTGATCTGCTCCCTCTTAATTTCTGAGTGAGCCCTGAGCATGCTCCAGCTGAGTGTGCAGCAGCCACCCTCCGAGGCTGCAGGATGGTGTTGGTGCACGGCTCTCCACCCTAGCGGGATTCTCAGATTTGAGTTGTTCCCCTGGTCTGTACCTGTGCCCTCCGTTCCCACTGGCACTTGGGAAGATGACTGAAATATTCACAGTCCTTACTTCCATCCACATGTCAGTTCTTAAGATGGGGTGGGGGCAAGAAAGGGGGACAGTTAGCTCTATGGGACACGACTACCTTTTTCCCTTTTTCCAAAAAGACAATACATACGTCACCTTCAGCTTAGATGCCTATCTCAGATGCCTTTCATGAAAGGTAGAAAAGGTCACGCAGGGAGCCAGACAGAAGTGGTTGGAACAAGACAGTGAGGGAACTCACGTGATGACGTACACGAATTGCTTCCCTTTAGGAGGAAGAGATTTCCATGTTAGGAGAGATTACCCACCTTCAGACCATATCGGAGGATCTGAAGAACCTGACCATGGACCCTCACAAACTGCCCTCCTCAAGTGAACAGGTAGGAACTGGGACTAAGTGGTCAGGGACAAGTCTAAGAAAGATTTGGAATTCAGGGCTCTGGTTGTCCGTGTGGCATCCATCGTATCTGAAATTATACTCGTATGTGACCATGGTGTTCATGTCATCACTGTGGCGGTTACTGTGGCCAGCCCCTGGGTTATGTGGTGTTTCCTTTGTGAACCGCCATTGTTCACTTTCACTCTTACAGGGAAAGACACTGAGGTACCGAGAGTTGAGGGACCGTAACCAAAGCCACCACTCTAATGTCTATTGTCTATACAATGACACTAGGATGAGTCAAGTGATCCATGACCAGATCCAGGATCACCCACTCTGAGCCATGAGCTATCAAAGGACCCCATGTCACTCTTGTCATGGCTTGCAGCCCTCCCTGGAGCTAATCGAGTTGTTCATGAGAACCTTTCCCATCTGAGGAAAAGCTGGTGTATTTTAAAATGGTTTACTCTCTTGGTATGTGTGACATTAATACTATATGTCTTAGGGTGCTGTGAACAGACACCATGATTAAGGCATCTCTTATAAGGACAACATTTAACTGAGGCTGGCTTACAGGTTCAGAGGTTCAGTCCATTATCATCAAGGCTGGAACATGGTAGCATCCAGGCAGGCATGGTGCAGAAGGAGCTGAGAGTTCTACATCTTCATCTGAAGGCTGCTAGGAGAAGACTGGCTCCCAGGCAGCTAGGATGAAGGTCTTAAAGCCCACACCCACAGTGATACACCTACTCCAACAAGGCCACACCTCCTAATAGTGCCACTTCCTGGGCCAAGCATATACAAACCATCACACTATATCAAGTGGGAAGACTCATGTTTAGGGGAACAACTGACCAGTCAGTGCTTGTTTGTCAGCCCTTTGTAGGCAGTTCTTACTGTCTGCTTGGACACTCGCCGAGAAGCTAAATTTGAGAGCCTTGTGGTTTTCTGACTATGAGATTTTTGTATTAAACTCAAGTATTCGTTGACTCAGTAAGTAGGCGTATTAGCTGAGTGCCTGTTAAAGAGAGCAAGAGGTGCCCCTTACACTCAATGGCTCTTTGTCACAGGGAGACACACAGAGATAATTGTGATAGTATTGGCTCACTCTTGGTTCTGAGAGGTTTTTCATTCTGTCCAAATAGGATACAAGTGTCTACTGAACATCCATTGGTTAAGGTGCAGCCAGTGAGCCCCCAAACCACCATTGTCTTTATGGAGCTGCAGGCTGAAAATGCTGCTGATTTTAGCCTGTGTTAAAAATAGCTTTTAGGAGTTAATCCATCACTGTAATTGTCTCTTTCTCCTGGTATTTCATGGTTTTCCTCTTCTAACTCCCCCTCCCATTGACTCCAGTTTCTTGCTCGACTCGGAAGGACTGTGACACTGAGGGATAGGTTCTGTGGCCCTTCAGTTGAAATGGACATTTTCTCTTTTAATTCTGCCACTGTGAGGGTCATGTTTTAACTGCATCATACATGTGGTGATATGTGGATGACGTTCCTCTCATTCGTCCCTTCAGGTGATTTTGGACTTGAAAGGTTCCGACTACAGTTGGTCGTATCAGACGCCACCTTCTTCTCCTAGCACAACCATGTCGAGAAAGTCAAGTGTCTGCAGGTAAGTGGAGCCTCCTAATGCTTTCTAAGACGTAGTTATGTGAATGCGACCAGGAGCCAGGCTATATGACCAAAAGGGGCCCATTTGAAATAGGAAGTCGTAAGGCAAACGATGTCCTCAGCTTTTTAGTCTGCCTCTGTCACCACACCTCACCCCCTAGTGTTGTTTTTAAGAAGTTGATCCAGCTGTAGCTGGAACAGAAGCTACGATGGCTTCTAGCCATGCTCTATCCCTCATTCCTGTAGTTGTAAAGTCCATGCAGTTCTTGTTTGGTGTTTCCCACCCCTCATGGCTACTCACACTGTTACTGTGGAAACACATTTGGGATGGTCCTGGGGCCTACGGGACCATTACGTAGTCTCACGAGGCAGCTGTTCTCTGTCTGCAGAGGGGAAAGGTTTATTCTGTTCTTCAAAGGTGCGAGCATCACCTGACATGCCTTCTTGCCTTGGTCCAGCGCTACACCTACTGTCAGTCATTTGACTTGAGGTTGCCAAAGCAGATGACTGTGAAGTAGCCTGGAGAGGACGGAGCGGGATCATCTCAGGCTCTGAGGGAAACATGGCCCAGCATCCTGCTGTGCTTAGTTTCACCCTGGGGCTCGTTGGGTATATGCGGGGCAGGCAGTTCCAGTCAAGAAGCTATGTCTTCACGTCTTCCCTGAAGATGTTGCTGGGTTTCTTGTTGCCTTTAATGGGCTCTGTGTTTATGTGAGATGGAGAAAACTTTTTTGTTTCAGTGGCTCAGCAAGGTTCTCCTCATCAGCACAGAACAAGCTATACTGCCTTCAACTGGCTGTATTCAGTTGCACTGACAGGAGCTGGCCGGAATGTAGTTGCTGTGTGCTTTCCTTTCGGTCCACAAATGCCATCTTCTGGCTAAAGTCCTTGCATTTATCCCACCACGGTGCACACATCCTCAGCAGCTGTTTGCTCCCTCAGCTGTGCTCACCTGTGTCTGACAGATCACCGCAAGGCATCTTAGCATAGGCCAGCCACATGGTGGGCTCCCCAACTCAGCAGCTTCAAGACAGAAGCCACAAGTCTGCAAGGCCTGAGGCTTCCTTCCCCAGGCTTGCCAGGCCGCTACATCCCTTCTTCCATGGGTTTTTGTAACTGCTCTTCACACTTTAGCTCTGCCTGCCTGGACCAGGGTCTCTACTCAGCTTTAAGGTTTTCTTAGGAATGCAGGTAGAGCGCCTCTGGGGTGGGAGCCATTTTTCCATCTCCTGCTTATTGGTTCACCATAGAAGTAAGCAGCTTAGCATTGACTGGCTCTCCTCACTGAAAGCTGACGGTGCTGTTACACCCAGCCCACAGATGGTTTAACGGGGAATCACCCACGAAGGAGCAGCGGCGGTAGAGTCAACTCACCAGCTCTGTTAATAAAATACACAATGCTTGCACTCAGTCTCTCCAAGTTGATTGGCTGATGTACTGTGGATGGAATCCACCTTAAGATGGGATCCACTTTAACCATAGGGTGTCTGCCAGTGCTGTTTAGCTGTGTGGTCTCTGGTTATCTGGACGCAGGTTGTCCATCCAAGGATGTGAGACCGTGTCCGTCCCTGCTGTAGACTTAGTGGGTTTTTGCTGCAGGCAGAAGAGATCACCCCCACTTTCTTTATATCCCAAGTGTTAGTCCTGCAGTTTTGTTGCTAAGTGGCACAGTAGAGTTGGGCTTCATTGCTTTTTTGTAAAAAGTACATGCTTGCATACTAAGACTGTCACATTGTAACCTCAGAGACCGAAACCTAGCTCTCTCGTTCACCTCAAAGAACCTTTCATTCACCAGCCCGGTTTGGTCTTTGACAACATGTCCTGGGTTTGTATGCTTCTTCGGGGCAAGGAGCTGGTGTTTTCTTGTGCTTTTTGCTTACATTGTCCATTGCCGTCTGTCTTCTCACCGCTGCGCCCTCCTCTCCACGCCGGCCCCCTCGGCTTGTCCCTTACAGCAGTCTGAACAGCGTCAACAGCAGCGACTCCCGGTCTAGCGGCTCCCACTCCCATTCCCCCAGCTCACATTACCGCTACCGAAGCTCCAACCTGGCCCAGCAGGCCCCCGTGAGGCTGTCCAGCGTGTCCTCCCACGACTCAGGATTCATATCCCAGGACGCCTTCCAGTCCAAGTCACCCTCTCCCATGCCACCTGAGGCTGCCAACCAGGTAAGGACGCCCTCCACCCAGAGAGCAGTAGGCACACAGGGTGCCCTGACCACTGTTGATGGGTCATTTAAAAGAGATCCCCAAAGGGAGAGATCCTCTAAGTTGGGCTGGAAGCCTATCTCAGCATCAGCAGTAGTTACAAATACCATGTTGGTTGGGCAAGCTATCACTTCTAAGTAGGTAGCCTCAAAAAGGGACACCCTCTCCCCCTTAATCTCATCTCAGGTTTTCCCCCAGGACAGAGATCCTATCAGTGAGCAGTGATTCCCCGCACTGCACTCTCAATCAGTTCCCTGCCATCCATTGTGTTGCCAGTGAGGTGCTATTAGAGCCCCTGTGGATAACTCTATTGATCCCGGGAGAAGGAAAGATACTCGGCCCCTCCACATGTTGTAGTTTGAACGGCACTCATCCAGCTAGACCAGGCATTGGTGCCCCTTGTGTGTGGTTGGTGTATGTAACCCTCAGGGTGCCTGTTTCTTAGGGCCGGTTTGTCAGCTTTGGCTTGTTAGTTAGCAAGCACAGTGCATCCAATGCTAGGACATGATTGGAGCCACCATCTATTGGGCCCCATAGTGCCACCTGCTGGGAGGGGAGGAGTGTGGGGAGGCTGAGCCAGAGAACCTGGTTGCTCAGCCAAGGTTAGCAAGTGCAGAACCTCATATTTCCGAGCTCTTAGCATTATTTAGCCATGTGAGGTTTGGTGCTCTCCCTCCCCCCTCTTTTTTCCCCTTTAGAGACACAATTTCCTGCAGAAAGTCTCTGGCCCAAGCGAGCTGAGTTTATGCTCAGTGTGCTTGTCTCAGCTGGGGTGCCTGGGCTTGGCCCCCAGGGCCTCCATCCCTGCTATGTGTTTCACTAAGCCACACCTCCCATGCTCCTACCAAGCTGCATGTAGTCAGAAGGAGGGCAGAACCGTTGCTTCCTTAAAGACCATCGTAGCGTACAGTCTAGCTCTGTTTGCTTCTAATGGATTGAGAACTAACACACTCTTGTACCCCGATAACCCTTGCTAAAGAAGCAAAGCCTTTCTCTCTTCTCACGCGTCTGTTGGTGGCCCAAGCACGATTTCTGCCCCTGTGATGTCTGGGAGAGCAAAAGGTGGTAAATTAGGGGTGGGGGGCTCTGAAGTCTGAAAGCTGTAGCTGTCTGGCTAGTCCTTGAGAATAGAGTTTCTGGGGCTAGGCAGGGAGTGCCTGGCACTCAGAAGCAAAGTTTGGGTTTTCAGTACTTATCAGGTGAAGTGGCACATGCCTGTCACCTCAGTCAAACACTGGGAGGGTGCAGACAGGTGATCTTCTTGCTGGCCAGTTAATATGGCCAGTAGACCTCTGGCTGCTCCACACACGGCACTAGGTTTTCTCTATGTTTGGTTGGTGCTGGAAGCCGGTGTGTGTGTGTGTGTGTGTGTGTGTGTGTGTGTGTGTGTGTGTCTCTCTCTCTCTCTTTTTCTTTCTCTCTGTCTCTTCTAGGTGGAGCCCAGGGTGCCCCCCCCCCCAGACATGTATGAACACAAACCAGTAGGCTCTCTGTGTGTTTTGTTGGTGCTGGGTATGGAATCCAGGGTCTCTCACAGGCATGTGACCAACCACTGTCTTACTTCCCCAGCCCTAGGGTAGTTATAATAAGCCAAAGGATGCTGCAGGATTTAAAGGAGAATTACTCTTTTTCAGACAGCACAGCTGCCTGCAATCAAGTAAAGAGGAACTTGTAAGATATTTCCCAGATCACACCAGCCAGAGGGTTCCACCTCCCCTTTGGTGTAGATAGATACTGGTGATCCAGTTCTCAGGGTGAAAACCACTGGGCTCGGAGCTTGGAGCCCACAGCTCCACAGCTGGGGAGTGGTGGAAAGAATGCATTACTCCAAGCATTTAGATTTCCGATCATGGGTAATGCGTTTGGTGCTTTGCCCTTGCAGGTCAGGAAGCTAAGCCTCTGTCCCTTACAGGAATCCTTTTGAGATGGGAGAAGGGGATAGAAACATGAATCTGGCCTCTGTGACGGTTGATCCAGGCACGTAGCGCTGAAGGACCTGATTTATTTAATCAAAATGGAGTTAAGCTGGAGTTTGTAGCTAGCAGTGAGGAACTTGGAGCAAGAAGCTTGGTGTCATGAAGCGAAGAGGGCTAATGGGGAACGGCGTGGGCTTCTGAAACCTCAAAGCCTGTCCCCGGTGACTTTCTGTAGCAAGGGCATGTTTTCTAATCCTTCCCAAGCTGTTTTGCAAACTGGAGACCAAGTATATGAACATATAAACACATGGAACCCATTCTCATTAAAACTACCACATCAGGCCACAGAATCGAGGCATACCAGTGACCATAAAAAAGGCAGAGTCTCTACTACAGTAGAGTATCACAAGGCCAGGCTGGAGGCAGGGGACTGTCAGGCAACTGGACCTAGTGCCATCAGCACTGGCACCCATTCTCTATACCTGGTTCTCTCCAGATGCTTCATCCTGCGGTGAAGATAAAGACTCATCACTGGGCTTCCCTGCGCAGAGTCTCCCAAGTCACTGTCCAGATAGAACCTCAAAGCTGTCTTTAAGACGGGAGGTGCCACCATAGGGAACAGAAGCCGTGCTGGACAATAAGAAGCTAGGAATTAGAGCCATCGTCCAGCCACCACTTGCCTAGGGACAGTTTTATGCGGTATATAATACCTATGGACCTATAAGGTCCTTTCTGGGTCCTTGTGGTATACTGTCATGTGCCCAAGAGCCCAGAGCTTGCCATGAGGCCCAGTGTGATGAACCAGTGTTGCTCTGTCAGGCACAAGGGTCAGCTATGTCTGCAGGTCCCACACACAGCAGGGCCAGAGCTTGGCCAGGTCTCATGTCACTTTCTTAAAATCTGTGCGGATGAAAAATAAGCCTTAACTTACTGTCTGCTTCTCTCATCCCCCCTCTTCTGTGTATGTGTCTGTCTGTCTCCCTTTCTGTGCGTGCCCTTGTCACCCCGTCCTTCCTCCTTTATTTTAATTATGATTTCCGGTGGCCCGTGGTCTGGTTTGTTGGTCCCCTCGTGTGGCTCTTCCCTGCTGCAGAACTCATCCAGCTCGGCCTCCTCTGAAGCCTCGGAAACCTGCCAGTCAGTGAGCGAGTGCAGCTCCCCCACCTCAGTCAGCTCAGGCTCCACCATGGGCGCCTGGGTGTCCACAGAGAAGGTGACCGGCCAGGGTCGCAGCCATGGTGGGCTGTTCTTCCTGACCTGCCCCCGCTTGCCTGCTGCACACACAGCTGTCACAGTTGTAGGACTGGAAACTCAGGATCTGCTCCAAAAGCTGAGCCCTCTTTGGGATAGGGTCTGGACAGGTGGAGGGCTCGCTGGCTGCCTAACAACGTGGTCAGTGAGGGAGAGGAAAGGGGTATGGGGATGTGGAGATGTGAAGGCTTCCTCCCTAAAATAGGGTCTGTGTTCGTCCCTTCTCCCTTCTTCCTCAAACATCCCACAAGACTGTTGGATGTGACATCTCACTGTGTCGGAGGTCATGTGCTTTCCCGCCTTTCAGTCCCCCCACCCCCACCCCCCATCACTAAGCTTGATGTGGAGTCTGCTCCCAAGCAGTGTGCCGATTGGGAAACCTAGAATGAACAGATTTGCATAACGTGATGTCGGTTCCCTAGTGCCATGAAATCGGGCTTCACAAGCTTAAAAGAAAATTAAAACACTAACAACATTGCAAATTAAGGAATGGCCAAATCCTGGACTGTTCTAAAACGCAGGTCAGATGTTCCCAGCTGAGTGCTTACTGGGTGTCCAGTCTGTACGTTCTTCGCACCCTGGCTCTCCTCCTGCATCATTCACAGGCAGAAGAGCACCAGTGTTGATTTTGTTTGTAAATATTCAGGTTTCCCCGTGCCCTCGGTGTCTGTCAGTGCCATCTTGTACCTCTACATTCATCCTGTTATATTAATTTTTTTTCCTTTTCTCCTCCCTTTTTTGTTTTTTGTTTCCAGTTGTCTAATGGGTTTTCTCACTATAGTTTATCAAGTGAGTCCCATGCAGGGCCTGTGGGTGCAGGCCCTTTCCCTCATTGCCTGCCTGCCTCCCGCCTGCTCCCTCGGGTCACCTCTGTCCACCTTCCTGACTACGCTCATTATTACACCATTGGGCCCGGCATGTTCCCGTCATCTCAGATCCCTAGCTGGAAGGTTTGTGTCTCCCCTCCCTCCTCCCACCCTCTCCAGCTCCCTCCTCCCCTCCCTCCTCCCACCCTCTCCAGCTCCCTCCTCCCCTCCCTCCTCCTTCCCTACTCTTTCCCTCCCTCCCCAGCTCCCTCCTCCCCTCTCTCCTCCCTTCTTCCTTTCCTCCCTCCCTCATTGCTTCTGTGCTCACCCCTCTTCTGTTCTGCCATCCTCCCCTGCCCTCAACTCTACCCTTCCTTTCACACTCAGCCTTCTTCCCCATAACCCTTCTTCCTCAGGAAGCCCCCTGCCCCCCCCCCCCCCCAGGGGGCACCCAAAAACCAGCTAGAGATATTTTCCACATGGAACAGAAACCTGAGTCTTCCTTTAGGGAACTTTAGCCCTGAAGACTAGAGATGAAGGACACTGGTAGGCTCTGCGTCTGGGTGGGGCCTGCTGGCTTCATTCCCTTCTGGGCCACCTGCAGTGTTTTATCAGAGCCTATACTGTCCTCCTTGGCCATATGCCCAACTCCTCCCCCCCACCCCACCCCCCATGACAGTCCTGCTGCAGTAACAGAACAGCAGCCCGGAGTATGCAGTCTCTCAGAAGTATATGAACTTTAGATTGTTTTATGTTGAAACACGTTTGTTTCAATATAAAAACTAAACTTTTAAGTGATTTCACCAGGGCAGTTGAGGCTCCAGGACGGTAAGTCAGTCCCTGGGGCTGCCAGTATTTTGAGCAGCTTATAACTTCATCTCTCAGAGTCCTCAAAACCTGGGGCAGATCCTAGAGCCCTCCCTGTCTCCGGGTGGCAGATGTACCTGTAGAACGGCTGGTGGTGCACTAGGGCCCCCTGGTGGCCACTTAGCCTTGGCTAAATCAGTTGCTCTAGGAGAGTGGGTCCTTCCAGCAGAAGGGCAGGCCTGACTCCTTGGATGGCACTCTCTCTCTTTTTCTCCCAGCTGATGCTCTAGTATATAGTGACCAGCTGTCAGGTAGCTTCTGCCTACCTGGTTGTTGAGAGTTTTTAATCTTTGGGCAGGGATGAGGAGGAGGGAGGTACTAGTGGAGGGGGAGGGTTACTCAGTTAGTATGGGCAGGGGCTATGGCTCTTGACTACACTGTTCTACTCAGGACTGGGCAAAGCCAGGACCCTATGACCAGCCACTGGTGAACACCCTCCAGCGCCGCAAAGAGAAGCGTGAGTCAGACTCCAATGGGGGAGGACCCACTACTACAGGAGGACCACCTGCAGTTGCTGAAGAGGCACAGAGACCGAGGAGCATGACTGTGTCAGCTGCCACCAGGGTGATATACCTGTTCTCTGTATCTGGCTGGATTCACAGTTAGGCCAAAATGGGGACCAGGGACCCTGACCTGCCCTCGGGGTCCACATAGCCTAGCAGCTTGAAGGGTGGTTCTCCATTCTTCTTCCCCAGCTCTACAATATGTAAAAGACAGAATCCTTGCATGATAGTAAGACACGTAGAACTCTCTAGTTCGTGCTTGAGAACTATCCAGGTCTAAGTAGCCACCAAAGACTACTGATGTGTGCTCACAGGAGTAATCTGGGGTCCCACCTACAATAGTGTGTGTATGGTGGCTCTGGTCTCTTGAGTTTACATGTCCCTTGTGGCTTGTGTGTCTGCCCTCCATTTTGCAGCCTGGTGAGGAGATGGGGGCCTGTGAAGAGCTGACACTCGCCCTGTCCCGGGGCCTACAGCTTGACGCACAGAGGAGCAGCCGGGACTCGCTACAGTGCTCCAGTGGCTATAGCACCCAGACCACCACCCCGTGCTGCTCTGAGGATACCATCCCCTCCCAAGGTACGAGGCGCCCAGCTTTCCGGGCGGCTCCAGGTGAGGAGGCAGTGAGCCGGCGGCTGTTCTAACCACAGCATAGCTCCTGGCTACAGATGGGCTTTGGAATCACTCTGTTGTCTCTGGGTGCTTTGGGGGCAGTGATCTGTAGTTGACAGGTTGCTAGCTGCTGCCTAAGAAGTGACCCCAAACATGAGCCATTTTGCTCATTTCTTACCATCCGTGTGTGATGCTCCCCAGCCTGAAATGAGGCACATGCTCTTAATAACAGCATCGTGTTTGTTTGGCACTTTGTGTGAAGCACCTTTTTACTTGTGATCTTCAAAATCACACACGGGAGAGATATTTTATCCCCATTTTACAAATGTGGACACCGAGGCTAAATAACTTGACCAAATCCACCTAACTCCAGTCTAAGAGATGGAATCCAGCCTCTAAGTTCTTAATCTAGTCAGTCTCTCCCTCATCACCATACATACAGGGCGGGCAAAGCAGACATCTGACAGCCAGAATCACTGTGGGATGGTTGGCTAAAGGCTCCCTGTAACCCACAAGTTATTAAAGATCTGAGTCAGTGACTCTTAAGTAAAGGCGTCCCTCCTCCTGTCCTCTCAGGGATGTTCAGCAGTCTAGACATGTCTTTAGTAGTCAGAACCGCAAGGGCACTACTGGTATCTAGAAGCTAAGAGGCTGGGAGTTACCCCCTCTAAAACACAGCTCTCCAGACCTCGCCCCACCAAAGAATTACCTAGCCTCAAGCCTCCAATTTCAGTTGACCTGCTGTTCAGATACTTGGCCCTGAGCTGCTTACTGTAAGCATCCCCTCCCCCGTTGCCCTGAGATGTGCACAGTGCCATTTTAAAGCAGGCATGAGTGAACACACGAGCCTTTGTACTTGGTTTTCAGGAACTCCATTCCTCTCCAGCCCTCCCTTGAGCTGTTAGTTATCATGGAGATGATAAAGCCAACACTTTCCGTGAGAGCTTTCTCATGGCTAATTGTGGACCAGAGGACTGGACAAATTTGTCCTTTCATCTGACCTCCCAGAGGTCATTGGCAGCAGCGTTGTCACAGCTCAGTAGTTCTGGGTTCTTTCCTCCACCTCACAGTTCTCTGTTGTGGACGCGAAGGGTACATTAGTGAACAGAGCAAAGGGCTCCTGTAGGGAATTGTTACTGAGGCAGTGTTTTAATGGGCAGGGGAGGGTGACGCCATGTGTACTCTGCCTGGTGTGATTCCCATCCTCCTATCGTGGCATGGGAAAAGAAGAGCTATTGCCCTGGACCTAGACCATCTAATTAAATCCTATCCTCAGTTTCAGATTACGATTATTTTTCTGTAAGTGGTGACCAGGAGGCAGAACAGCAAGAATTTGACAAGTCGTCCACCATTCCAAGGAACAGTGACATCAGCCAGTCTTACAGGCGGATGTTCCAAGCCAAGCGTCCAGCCTCAACTGCTGGCCTTCCCAGCACTCTCGGACCTGCTATGGTCACACCAGGGGTTGCGACCATCCGACGGACCCCTTCCACTAAGCCTTCTGTTCGCCGAGGGACCATTGGAGCTGGTCCTATTCCCATCAAGACACCAGTGATCCCTGTCAAAACCCCAACTGTCCCAGACCTCCCTGGGGTTTTGCCATCCCCTCCAGATGGGCCAGAGGAGCGGGGTGAGCACAGCCCTGAGTCTCCATCTGTGGGGGAGGGACCCCAGGGTGTCAGCAATATACCCTCTTCCTTGTGGAGTGGTCAAGCACCGATCAACCCTCCACTTCCAGGCCCAAAGCCCAGTATACCTGAGGAACACAGACAGGCGATTCCAGAGAGCGAGGCTGAAGACCAGGAAAGGGACCCCCCAAGTGCCACTGTCTCCCCAGGCCCGATTCCAGAGAATGACCCCGCAGACCTGAGCCCAAGAGAAAGTCCTCAGGGAGAAGACATGCTGAATGCCATCCGGAGGGGTGTAAAGCTGAAGAAGACGACCACCAACGATCGTTCAGCACCTCGCTTCTCTTAGGTTCTCATAGTTCCCAGGAGATGCCGCTAGTGGGAACAAACTCTTTAATTAATAAAGCCTAATTTGTCTTGATCCATTCCAGTCTATAATCAAGCAAAAGATTTTGTAGGCAATTCGGAATTCTGCTCTTTTCAAAGTATTCAACATCTTTAGATAAAAATTAAAAGCAACATATATAATTGACATAATCTTGACCTTTTAATTTGTAAATATTGACGGTTTCTTTCTGCATATTTTAACCTTAGTTTCCCTTTTGATTTTTCTGAAGGTGCCAAATTCCATTTAACTTTTTTACAGGTCTTTGTAAAATTTTAAAAGCATAAAGGGGAGGGGGTGGGTCGGGATGGGGAACCTTGGAGTAATTTCACAAAAGGATTACATACTCAGTTGTTTTTCTTTTTCTTCCCTCACGCTTTTGTAGATGCACTGTAGTTGTCTAGTTTAGAAGCAAATTCAAGTTATTTTAATGGATAAACACAACGGATAAGGGGTGAAACCCTTATTCACATATACTGTGTTCTGGAGGAGAAACTCGGGGGTAACAGTTGAGCAATATGCAGAAAAGTAAACCCGGACATGGTGGACTGTGTTGGGATTGGGGGGGAGGGCTGGGGGAGGGGCACACTGTCAACATAGCCAATCCTGTTACATTTAAGAGTAGCCTTGTAGGTTGAATTTCCAGTAGCTTCATGGTTAACGCATCCGAATAAGCCATACTAGATTGCAGTGTTTGTTTCCATAAGGTTTTAAGGACTTCCTTTCTCCCAGCATTCCTCTTTACCGCACACACACCACCCACATCCGGTCCTGCGCATGCTGCTGCCACGGATAGACATAGTCCCTTCTTTACTTTCTCGTCTCCTATACTCACTTCCACGGAATCCAAATACATCCAAAGGGGTAAGGCAATTCAGAAAACCTAAAACATTTTAAACTGATAGCAGGGAATTCTTAGATATAGAAAATGCCTTTTACTTAACTGTGCCCAGCAGGCTGGGTGCGTTGAAAAGCCCAGATATTTTGAAGAAAAAAAAATTCAAACAGATTTATCAAGGGTAACCAGCTTGGAGTCTAGCAATTTTGCCAATGTGCTTACCAATCTGGGGGCTTGTTTTTCTTCCCTTCCTTAAATAAGGACAGTTGATTGCCTTCTAAACACCGGAGCAAAGAGGATTTATTTACTGTCAACTGGGAGTCTGATTTCAATTCAGACAATGTTTTTTTCTTTTCTCTTTTTTTTTTTTTAAGTGAATTTGTCTTTTCTTTTTTTTTAAGTGGAAGTTAAATTTGTTACAATGCCCATCCCTAAAGTCAACAGAAATGTGTAGATTTCAAGAGCTCACATTTAAAGACAGCTGTTAAAAAGGCAAGGCCACCAGCAGTGCAATAGCTGACAGTACACGGTTGACTTTTTGGGCAAGAGACTTGGTGGGTCCTATGTGCTCTGCAGATCTCTGTTGGCTCTAGCCTCTGACAACAATCTTACACGTTAACACGTAGCCACATTGGATGTGAGAGTAATGTTCCTCTAGTCATTGTTCTATATATTAACATTTAACACTGCTGTGATTGCTCAAAGGACATTTTATGTTATGGCTTTAAAGCAAAGGCATGATTATTAGAAATGACTTAAGCTCTTTTCTTTGAAAAACAAGCTCCTTTTACAGACTATAAGCAAACAGTAGTGCCTGTGGTTTAGCCCGCCAATCTGGATGACTCAAAGTAGCTGATGCATTGTGCATATGATGCTTGAGATGGTTTTTGCAGATGCAGAAATCGCTGCAAGGTCATTCTAATAGATACAAGTGGTATTTTAAAACCTTTGAAAGGAATGGATGTAACTGTACGTTGGTACAGCTTTTCACTTGTTTAGTTTTTAAACGTTAGTATAATCTGAATAAAGTTAATATAAACTGTTGCCAAATTCAATGTAGAAAGAATGTGACAAACACCTTGGGTAGCTCTGTTTGTGTTTTTGCATATTGTAAAAGCAGTGTCACAGCTGAAATGAACCCTTTCTAAAGGTAAATTATTGTGGTTTAGTTGCTAGTTTGTATTGAGAGTTGACCTCTCCCTGTGCAGTTTTTGTTCCAAACTTGTATAGATAACAGCGTGTAATGTGTCTCCCTTCTACATTGTAACAGTTGCTTCTGCCTACCTTATAAATAAAGAATCACTAAGAAAAAAAAGTCCTCAGGTCTGCTTCAGATTGCTTGGGGTCTCGGTCAAATGTTAGAACATGAACAGAGCCTTCTGTCTGGGACAGTTATGAGATTAAGGGCTAGACTTGCTTAATTTGAAAACAGTTCCAATGAGTTACCAAACCTAAAAGTAACTAGTTTTTACTGATAGTAAAATAGAATGCTTTACATTTATTTAAAGAGTTTCAACTATGAGCTGGAGAGATGGCTCAGCAGCTAAGAGCACTGACTGCTCTTCCAGAGGTACTGCCTGAGTTCAATTCCCAGCAACCACTTGGTGGCTCACAACCATGTGTAATGGGATCCGATGGCCTCTTCTGGTGTGTCTGAAAACAGCTACAGTTGTACCCACATGTATAAAAATAAATCTTTTTTTGTTTTGTTTTGTTTTTTGTTTTTCGAGACAGGGTTTCTCTGTGTAGCCCTGGCTGTCCTGGAACTCACTCTGTAGACCAGGCTGGCCTTGAACTCAGAAATCCGCCTGCCTCTGCCTCCCAAGTGCTGGGATTAAAGGCATTGGCCACCACTGCCCGGCTTAAATAAATCTTTCTTTAAAAGTTTCAACTATGCAGCCCTGGCTTGCCTGGAACTCTGCAGACCAGGGTGGCCCTGAGCTCGAGAGATCAAGTGCTGAGTTGTAGGTGTGCACTTTTTAAGAATGCTGGCTGAGCCGGCCATGGTGTAAAGGCCTGTGGGCAGTCTGCGGCGGCAGTTCTCTCCACATGCACGGGTCCTGGGGATAAGCCAGGCTTGACTGCTAGCCTTCTCTGGCTTACCTTTGTAATCACTAACTTGGGATACTTATGAAGGTCTGCTATCCTTACCTTTGCTCAGCAGAGGAGGCACAGCTGGATACCTGTATCCCAAAGCATCCCACATGAGACCCTTGGAGCCCCAACCAGCAAACCTACACCCCACCTCCAGAAGGCCCTGAACTCTGCCTGCTCTGTGCTGCTTCAGTTGCTCTTTTCATAAAGACTAAAATCCCATTAGCAGAGCCTTTAAGAAGTGAAGAAGGCAGCTAGGAGTGGCACATACTCCTGTTCCCCTACAATGTGAGTGTCACTGAATCTTTTGGCTTTTTCTTTTTTAAAAAAGTTATTAATTATATTTTATGTATCTGGGTACACTGTAGCTTCTTCAGACACACCAGAAGAGGGCATTGGATCCCATTACAGATGGTTGTGAGCCACCCACCGTGCAGTTGCTGGGAATTGAACTCGGGCAGGACCTCTGGAAGAGCAGTCAGTGCTCTTAACGGCTGAGCCATCTCTCCAGCCGTCTTTTTCTTTCTTTTAGAGCCCTCCATATTTCTCTTCTGTTTCTTCCCTTTATTCAGTTGTAGGCTAGGGACATGGCTCAGTGGATAAAGCACTTATGAGGACCTAGATCTGGAGCCCCGGCACCCATGAAGCTAGGCACAGCAGTGCACAAGTAACCTCATCTTAAAGATGGAAGGTGAGGAGCACCACCCGCATGGTTCTCTGTCCTGCACATCGAGTGTGTACATGTACAAGAGTGTGCCTGTGTGCATTCACAAAGATGAAAACCCACCTGGCCCTAACACTCGAACCTGCTCTCTGAAGCTTTTCCTTACCAAGCACATGTGCTATCAATATAATTCTACAGGTAACTTTAAAAAACTTAGCATACATGGTATTAACAAAACCAAACTACACTACAGGCAAACACTTAGGGACACAGTAATCCTTGGAAGAACACTTCAGTCACAGCCGACTGTGTCCAGGCATTTTTATTAGGGCAAGTGTGAATGTGTTTGGTAACTCTCACTTGCAAGTATGAACAGTGAGGTGCCTGTCTAAGTGGGCCGTTCCCGGGGTCTGGTCACAATATGCCACCACAATGGGGGCAAGTCACCTTCCTTTCTGGCAGGAGGCAAAGCTTCAGTCATAATACCATCAGGTGGTGTTTCCTCCTGCAGCTGCTTAACCTAGAAGGGGACAAGGAAGGAACCATTACAAAAGGAATCTCCACAGGAAGACCCGTGTGCATAGTCAGATGGCAGCCTGGGATGTCTCCTATCACCCTGAGTCAGCATCAGGAAATGTTTATTTCATATAAACCTGTACCATTTCTACGCCTGAGTCTACAAAGCGGAACAACTCTTCTCTCAGAAGAGTCTTTTTTTTTTTTTTTTTTAAGTCTGTATCTTTTATGGAGCTGAGTTGACTGGCATGGAACTAGACCAGGCTGGCATCTGAACTCCTTGGTCGTCCTGCCTTGCCCTTCCCCATGGTGTCATCACAGGTGAGCCAGGTGACTGTTCTTACTTCTAGCATAGCAAAGCTGAACATTCTACGTGTCTCTTACTCCTTCAGCAAAGCCACAAGTCTTTCTAATTCCTTTTGTCATGGTCTCCCGCTGGTCCCCAGGAAAACACTTGTCGCTCAGCTCAGATGTATTAGAGAAGCAACTGAACAAGTTCAGTGAGCAAAGTAGACTCCGCCCTGCCTGATGTTGCCCCACCCTGCCTGATGCTGCCCCGCCCTGCCTGATGCTGCCCAACAAGATTCTCAACATCACTGTCCTAATGGGAAAGGACTAAAAGCAAAAGCTCACCACACAACACTGAATAACATCCAGGAGCTGAAATCAAAGAGAGAAGGGAGGAACTCAGGAGTCCTCAGTGGTCACTGGCAGAACAAGCCTGCTGCCCACCACGAAAGTCTATCTTAAGCCTCAATATGCTGTAATACTTCTTACAAAACATGACATCCCTCGGCCACAGAGGCCTTTCTACTCCACTTTGGCTAAAGTCTTCGAATACCAACATCCTGGACTTTATCTCCCAGAACCAGAACAACTTTCAAAATGATGAATTGAGAGACCAGTATCTAGTTCCTGCTGCCTGCCCACCCATCTGCATAAACTCCCTCAGAGACTCTGAGGAAACTGATCTCTCCTGACCTGAAGTTCTCTGCATCAGACTGGCTCAACTGCCTTTTAAAATTCAGTTTAGACCCTGT